TGAAGTTACAGAAGTACCTAAAGTTAAAGAAATAAACAAACTTACAGAAGAACCTGAAGTTATAGAATTACCCGAAGTACCTAAAGTTAAAGAAGTACCTGAAATTACAGAAGTGCCTGAAGTTACAGAAGTATATGAAGTTACAGAAGCACACAAAGTCACAGAAGTATCTAAGGTTACAGAATTAAATGAAGTTACAGAAGTACCTAAAGTTACGGAAATATATGAAGTTACAGAAGTACATAAAGTTACAGAAGTACCTGAAGTTACAGAAGTACCTGAAGTTACAGAAGTACCTAAAGTTACAGAAGTACCTAAAGTTACAGAAGTACCTGAAGTTACAGAAGTACCTGAAGTTACAGAAGTACCTAAAGTTACAGAAGGACCTGAAGTTACAGAAGGATCTAAAGTTACAGAAGGACCTAAAGTTACAGAAGGACCTAAAGTTACAGAAGTACCTGAAGTTACAGAAGTGCACAAAGTCAAAGAAGTACCTGAAGTTGCAGATGTAACTAAAGTTACAGAAGTACCTGAATTTACAGAAGTACAGAAAGTTACAGAAGTACACAAAGTCACAGAAGTACCTACAGAAATCCACAAAGTCACAGAAGTACCTCAAGTTGCAGAAGTACCAAAACTTACAGAAGTACAGGAAGTTACAGCAGTACACAAAGTCAAAGAAGTACCTACAGAAATCCTCAAGGTCACAGAAGTACACAAAGTTAAAGAAGAACCTGAAGTTATAGAAGTACACAAAGTCACAGAAGTACCTGAAGTTACAGAATTACATGAAGTTACAGAAGTACATGAGGTTACAGAAGTACGCAAAGTTTCAAAAGTACATGAAGTTACAGAAGGACCTAAAGTTACAGAAGTACCTGAAGTTACAGAAGTGCATAAAGTCAAAGAATTACCTACAGATACAGAAAAATCTGAAGTTACAGAAGTACCTGAAGTTACAGAAATACCTAAAGTTACCGAAGTACCTCAAGTTACAGAAGTACAAGAAGATACAGAAGTACACAAAGTCACAGAAGTACCTACAGAAATCCACAAAGTCACAGAAGTCCCTGAAGTTACAGAAGTACACAAAGTCACAGAAGTACCTGAAGTTGCAGAAGTACACAAAGTCACAGAAGTACCTGAAGTTACAGAATTACTTAAAGTTACTGAAGAATT